CTGAAATTTATCCTGTAGCCCATGCTGACCTCAAATTCACCGCCATCCCCTTGCCCTAGCTTCCTCAAACGTTGGGGTTGCAGGGCTAAAATTACGCAGCTCAGGTAGTTTGAATACAGATTCTGACTATTGTGCCTCTTTACACACAAGTATGCTTAGGGGGATCGCAAAGAGCGTTTGTTCGTTTGTTTATCTATTTATAGACAGGGTCTCGTATAGTCCAGGCTGGTCTGAATCTTGCTATGTGGGAGAGGGTGACCTTAAACTGATCCTCCTGTCTCTACCTCCCACGGGCTGTGACGACAGGCGTGCCCAACCATGCAGGGGCTTTGCACACGCTAGGCAAGCTGGCTACCAGATGATACACATCTCCAACCCCTCAACAGATGGCTTAAAAGGCAGAGTCTGAGGATTAGGTCACTGATAGAAAACTGCCTTTTGTTCCTGAAGCCCCGGCTTCTGTGCTAAAAACAGGAAGAAAGGAAAAAAAGAAGAAAAAGGAAGTCTAATAAAGCTGGGTGTGAAGCTCAGCTACTGGAGGGAGGTTGTAAAATGAGTGAGGATCAGTGTTCAATCCCGGCAAAACATGCACATGCGTGTGCGTGCACACATACATACCACACACACACACCGACACTGTTTTGATGTTACAGCCAACAAAATTACTTAATGCCATTAAATGCCTGCAGTGTCTTGACGGCAGCTGTAGAGGCGTCTCTAGAACAGGTTGCTGGGAAAGGCACGGAGCAGGTGGAAGCCATAAAACCGCCCACACACTGAGCTTCTAGACAGCTCTTGAGTCTACCTGGAAACCAGGAAGCTGGTTAGTCACACCAGGGAAAGTCTGAGCTGATCTGAGCCTGGAGGCTACTAGGAACAGGGAAGATTAAGGATCTGCCTGCCACTCCAGGGTCTGACCTTGCTGTGTCCTCCCTGTCGCTTCCAGGCCTCCACCGGGAATTTCTCCTCGTGCCCGGGGCTCACGTGCGCCTTCCAGGGCTACTCATCCACAGGCCCAGCCCAGCGCTCTATCTTCAACCTGCAAATCTATGGAGTTCTGGGGCTCTTCTGGACGGTTAACTGGGTACTGGCCCTGGGCCAGTGCGTCCTTGCTGGGGCCTTTGCCTCCTTCTACTGGGCCTTTCATAAACCTAAAGACATCCCTACCTTCCCCTTGAGCTCAGCCTTCATCCGCACCCTCCGGTGAGCCAGGGGCAGCCCCCTAGGGAAGCGTCAGCCCTAGGGATACCAGGAGGTGCCGGAGTGGCTCATCTCACCTACGCACCCTCTGCAGTTACCACACTGGGTCGCTGGCGTTTGGAGCCCTCATCCTGACCCTTGTGCAGATAGCCCGGATCATCCTGGAATACATTGACCACAAGCTAAGAGGTGAATGGTGACCAGTGATGGGCAGGTTTAGCTCCTGGAGTCTTAAAGAGGGCCAAGCAGGCAGAAGCCAGTGGCTGAGCGTCGGCTTCCTTTGTCCCTAGGATCCCAAAATCCTGTGGCCCGGTGCATCATCTGCTGCTTCAAGTGCTGCCTCTGGTGCCTGGAGAAGTTTATTAAGTTTCTCAACCGCAACGCCTACATCATGGTGAGCATGACCTCAAGGAGCCTCTTGCTCAGTACCCCTCTGCTCAGTACCCCTCTGCCTGCCCGGGCTCCACCAACACGGGGGGGGGGGGCTGCAGGCTCACCAGGGGTGTGGCTCTGACCTTTCCTGCTCCTCCCAGATCGCCATCTATGGGAAGAATTTCTGCGTCTCAGCCAAAAACGCCTTTAAGCTACTCATGAGGAACGTCGTCAGGTCAGACTGCCTTGGGGTCTCCTACCCAGATCGCCCATCCGTAAGCTGGCTCATGGGCAGACGCTGCTTAGAAGGGTCTCACACTTGGTCCAGGGCTCTGCTAGCCCCATCTTGAGGTGGGCATAGACGTCACTGTTCCCAGCCCCGCCAGGATCTCACCCCCTTGCCTCCCACTACAGGGTGGTTGTCCTGGATAAAGTCACAGATATGCTACTCTTCTTTGGGAAGCTGCTGGTGGTTGGAGGTGTTGGTAAGGGCCACCATTGGGGTTTGCAGAGTCGGGGGGCCCCCTGGAATACGTGCAGAAAGGGGTGTCTGCAGAAGAGCAGCCCTGACCCTGGGACCCTTGCCCACACAGGTGTCCTGTCTTTCTTCTTTTTCTCCGGTCGTATCAAGGGGTTGGGGAAAGACTTTGAGAACCCCCACCTCAACTATTATTGGCTGCCCATCATGGTGAGTGACATCTCCCTCTGCCACACCCAAGTCCCCAGACGTGCCTAGGGGGGTCCCAATCAGTCTTGTTTCCTGCAGACCTCCATCATGGGAGCCTATGTCATCGCCAGTGGCTTCTTCAGCGTGTTTGGCATGTGTGTAGACACGCTCTTCCTCTGCTTCCGTGAGTGTCCCCCACCCTCAAGCTCCTGACTCTTCAGGCTTCTCTTGGAGGCTGGTTGTAGCATCTTCAGACATTCTGGAGGCTGGAGGGAGCATCTTCAGACATTCTGAGGCTAGAAGTTTGGGGAGGAAAGAAGGGAACAAACCCTGGACATTCTCAGAGGGGACCCTTCTCAGACAGAGGCCTGGCTAGGAAACATAGGAAGATGTTAACCGCAGAACATTTTCCGGAAGGTAGTCATAGTGTGTGTGGAGGGGTGGGGGTGTATTCTTCTTTCTTTTATTTAGGTTTTTTTTTGGGGGGGGAAGGACATGCAGGGAGGTGGGACAGGATCACACTATGTAGCACAGATTGACCCAGAACTAACTATATAGCTGAGGGTGGCTCAAACTCACAAGCCTTCTACCTCAGCCCCCAAGTGCTGGGCATTGTGGTACCTTTTTGCCCCAGTGATGATGCCACCAGGCCTTGTGCCTGCAAAGCGGGAATGCCCACCATGGTGCTATACCCCAGCCACGCACTGAGCAATTAACAGGAGGATTTTGTTGTTGCTTTATGCTTTTGTTTCTTGGTTAAATCTTATTTATTTACATGTATTCTTGGTTGGTTCCAGCTTGCTTTATAAACCAGGCTGGATCAACTCCAGTCGTCTGGCCTCTGCCTCTTGAGTGCTAGAACCATGGAGATACACAACCGTTCCCCAGACAGAGTTCTGCTGTGTAGCTCAGGCTAGCCCTGTGTTCTAAGTCCTCCTGTCTCCACCTCCTAAATATTAGGATCAAATGAAAGCCACCATGATGAACTGACATGCAATTTTTCTTTATCCTGTTATCACCCTATAAAACATACGATCTTTACATGAGGAAACAGGTTATATAGAACTGCCTATATAGCCGGACAGTGATGGCGCACGCCTTTAATCCCAGCACTCAGGAGGCAGAGGCAGGCAGATCTCAGTGAGTTCGAAGCCAGCCTGGGCTACAGAGCAAGTTCCAGGACAGGCTCCAAAGCTACACAGAGAAAAGAACTAAGTGGCTTGGACAGGAGACCAGGCTGTTGGATCCACGCAGCCCAGATTGTTTCAAGGGTGCAACAGGGTTCCACTTATCAGGGTCTGCTCTAATTGATCTACTCTGCCACTCAGTGGAGGATCTGGAGAGAAACGACGGTTCCCAGGAGCGGCCCTACTACATGCCCATGGCACTTATGAAGATTCTGGGCAAGAAGAATGAGGTACCTGCTGGGGGCAAGAAGAGGAAGAAGTGACCCAGGACAGCAACCCTCCTGTACAGAAGCCCAGCTGGATAAGCCTTAAGGATCACAATTTTATAGTAAACAAATTTTATTAAAGATTAATATTTTATATTCTTGATAAGTATGGTTTTGTTTTTAGTTCAAACTCATTTCTCTTTTATTAAAGTCCAAATTACTATTACATGGTTCTATGCAAGTGAAAGAAAATGTGTTCAGGACCTGAGGGTAGGAGACTGGGGTGTCCTCAGATGATAGGGTGGCTGCCTAGCATGTAAGTACCCCCAGATCCTGTCTCTAGCATAAACATGGCCTGGAATCATGTCTGGAATCCCAGTACTCATGAGGTGGAGGCAGGAGGACTCCAGGTTATTCTTGACTGACTCCAGAGTGAATTCAAGGCCAGGTGGAGCTGGGCAAGACCTTGATTCACAAGAAGAGGTGGGGGAGGGGGTTGTTCGAATAAGGTATCTGTCACCAACAATCCAGGCGACTGCTTCATTTTATTTGTTTGTTTTCCATTTACTTATTTTCGGGTTTTGTTGAGATAGGGTTTCTCTGTGTAGATCCGCTTGCTTCTGCCTCCCGAGTGCTAAGTTTAAAAGTGTGCGCTAGCACTTTCTGGCACACATCAGCAATCTTAGAATAAATAAAATGAACTGGACATGGTGGCGCACACCTTTAATCCCAGCACCCGGGAGGCAGAGGCAGGCGAATCTCTGTGAGTTCAGGACCAGGCTGGTTTACAGAGCAAGTTCCCGGACAGTCAGGGTTACACAAAGAAACCCTGTCTTAAAAAAAAAAAAAAGATACAGCTAACCATTTTTGCCAACGTGATCTCCTGGCTCTGCCTCCAGAGCACTGGGGTTTCAGAATGGGTTCTGAAAAGCGTACAGCAAATGCTTTTTACACTGAACCAACTCCGCAACCCCACGTGACTCTTTAATATCTATATTATATAACTTATTTATATATAAGGTGTGCACCACCACACCTGATTTAGGTGGTGGCAGGGATTGAACCGAGGGCTTCCTACAGACTAGGAAGGAACTCTACCATCTGAGTCACACGGTCCCCAAAGTACTTTCTAGCCCTTCCACAAGGGGTTAGAGCCTTCCTCCCCGCCGGTTGCTGCACAACAAGCCTCGCTCCTTCGTCGCGTTCCGGGTATCAGAGCCAATCAAAAAGCTCATGAAGACTGAGCCCGCCTCCTGGGTCACATGCTGATGTCGGACAGCTGGAAGGACCAACGGGAGTCGCGGCAGAGAGGGCCGCGGCCACAAGGGGCGGGGCCAGAGTGACGTGTGCACATTTAAAGGGTCGGGGTCAGCTGACGGCTCGCCGCCGGTGACCAGTTCTGGCAGGCATCGGGAAGCAATGGTGGGGGCACAGCCGAGCAGACCCCGGGGACCGCTGAGCTGCTGGGCGCGCCGTTGGGGTCAGGTGCTCGCAGCGATCTTCCTGCTGCTGGTGGCGGTGGCGGGGTCCGAGGCCAGGGTGGAAGATGACTTCAGTCTGGTGAGCCCTGTTGCACCTGCAGAGGTGGCCGCTGTCCCCCAGCTCGGCCACCTCTCCGAGCGGCACTCCCGCCCCCATCCTCTCCCAACCCCTTTGCTTCCTTGGGCCCCTGGCTGCGTTTAGGGTCCTCACCCATCCCCGAGGGTTTCTTCTCCCCTGCTCAGGGACCTTCGGCTTCCGCCCATGCTCTCCCTTCCGACTGCCTTCTCTTGTTGGCGGACACCCCTCAGCCCTGCCCAGGCTCCCCATTACCTCTCTCATGGGAACCCTAGCTGGAGGCGCTCCCTACCGGTCTTAAAGCCTCGTCTAACTCGTCTGATTAAGGTGTCCTTCCTTCCACACAGGTGCAGCCGCTGGTGACCATGGAGCAGCTGCTGTGGGTGAGCGGGAAGCAGATCGGCTCGGTGGACACTTTCCGCATCCCGCTCATCACCGCCACCCCTCGGGGCACGCTGCTCGCCTTCGCCGAGGCCAGGAAAAAGTCTGCGTCCGACGAGGGGGCCAAGTTCATCGCCATGAGGAGGTCCACGGACCAGGGTACAAAGGTGCCCGGGGGTGGGGGGCTTGGGTGGGTGACCGAGATAGAGAGTAGGGGATTCCCTTCACCCATCCAACCGCCCAGAGCAGAACTTTGAGGCCTGAGTTCCCTAAGGAGTTAAGGAATCCCGAGGGGGAGAGTGTCCAGGGAACTAACTGCGACCACCAAGGGGTGGTCTCCTAATTCTCACTGGGAATGAGAATTATGTTGCTAGGTGGGATGAGCAGGAAATAATGTCAGAGAAAGAAGAAACAGGGTCCTGGTGCCACCGTAATGTCCTTGGGGAAAGGCAGGAAGTGAACCAGAAAGGGTACAATTTCACTCTGCTCTTTTCTTTTCCCAGGTAGCACATGGTCCTCTACAGCCTTCATTGTAGACGACGGGGAGGTCTCGGATGGGCTGAACCTGGGGGCCGTGGTCAACGATGTGCACACAGGAGTAGTGTTCCTTATCTATACCCTCTGTGCCCACAAGGTCAACTGCCAGGTGGCCTCCACCATGCTGGTGTGGAGTAAGGATGACGGCGTTTCCTGGAGCCCACCCCGGAACCTCTCCGAGGATATTGGCACAGAGATGTTTGCCCCTGGACCAGGCTCTGGCATTCAGGTTTTTATCCTGGGGATAGGTGAAGAGGGCAAGATCCTGTAAATTAGATTTTTTTTTCTTGAGTGGGATTCCTTAGAGATGGGGAGGGGCATTCTGGAAAGAGCACCCTGCTGTGGAGAAGATGAAACCCTGCCATCGACTTCTTGCTTGGGGTTGTCCACAGATTGTCCTTTGCCTGAGCAGGGTAGAGTTGGGTGACTTTTGGGCAGACACAGACCTCTATCACGGTGCCCAGTGCCCAGCAGAGTCCACACTCAGGCAGGCGTGAAGCTCCCAAGGCTGGGTGGGCACTTGTGCACATGTCCGGAGGTGCATTCTGCATGTCTTGGAAGCTTCCAGGGAAGGGCAGTGGGGAGCGTGCAAGTACCAAGCATTATGTGTGTGTGATGCCCAAATCCGTGAAGTCCCCACAAAAGACAACAAGGAGATGAGTCCCATATGCAAAAGCAAAGAGCCTTTATTTTAATCAAGTTTGCAAACTCGGTCTCTCTGCATGTCCAACGTATTGGAATAAACGGAGAGCCCCAAGCTCAGTTAGAATCGAGTTTTTATAGTAGTAAAGGTGGCGGTGAGGGGTCTCTGAGGTTCAGGACCCCTGATTGGCTGACATTTGTCTAGGGGTGTCCTGGTGAGTGTGCTGGCAGATGATCCTATCTACAGTGGTTGGAACGTTAGGCATTTCCTTTGGATGGTCTGGTTTTGGGTGGTGCTAGGTAATCTTAGTTTGTGGTTCTTTTGGCAACCAGGTATTGCTTCGGGTAAACTACTGAGACTCAGGCCTCCATTAAACCTACTCTGGCAGGTGGTAATGGTTGGAAGTTAACTTCCGTTGGGTGATCTGTCCATACTTAGCTTATCATGGCTGACTCCCACAGTATATATGTATGAGAATGCCACTGTGAAACCCACTCCTTTGTATAGAGAGACAATCTCAGAAAAAAAAAAGGAATTGATAAGAGTACTGAATGCTGGGACATAAAAGGCATAATCCCAGCACTCAGGAGGCAGAAGCAGGCAGATCTTTGAGTTCAAGGCCAGCCTGGTCGACAGAGGGAATTCTGATATACAGTCATGGCTACACAGAGAAACTCAGTTGAGAGTCAGCCTTGGTTATGTAGTGAGTGGGAGGGCAACCTGGGCTGAGATGGTGAGCTAATTTTCTTTTTTCTTCCTTCCTTCCTTCCTTTCTTTCTTTTCTTTTTTTCTAATGGGTGTTCTCAACCTAGGGCCTTGTTCATACAAGGCAAGAACTTTTCCACTGAGCTGAGCCCCCAGCCTTCTTATTATGCTTTTTATTTTTGAGACAGGACCTCACTAAGTTCCCCAGTCTAGCCTTAAAGTCACTCTGTAGCCCAGGCAGACTTTGTACTTGCCGCCTTCTGGGCTCAGCCTCCCGAGTAGCAGGGATTACAGGCCTGGCACACACACAAAAGCTTCATTCGGGCAGTGTCTGGGAGAACATCAGGGACCCAGAAGTGTCCTCGCCTTGGGGGGTGCCCTTTCTGCCTGCCTGCTCCCCATAGCACCATCTCTCACATAGCACCTCTCTCACAGAAACAGCGGGAGCCTCACAAGGGCCGGCTCATCGTGTGTGGACACGGGACGCTGGAGCGAGATGGCGTCTTCTGCCTCCTCAGTGATGATCACGGTGCCTCCTGGCACTACGGGACCGGAGTGAGCGGCATCCCCTTCGGCCAGCCCAAACACGAGCACGATTTCAACCCCGACGAATGCCAGGTCTGGAGTCGGTGGGAACTCGCTTGCCCACACCTTCGCCCAGAATGCCATTGCATCCGAAGACCCAGCTCTGGCTTCCTCAGCCTGCCCGGCTTCTCAGAGGCCCTGTCCTCTCCCCTTAGCCCTACGAGCTTCCAGACGGCTCCGTCATCATCAATGCCCGGAACCAGAACAACTACCACTGCCGCTGCAGGATTGTGCTCCGCAGCTACGATGCCTGTGATACCATTAGGCCCCGGGACGTGACCTTCGACCCCGAGCTGGTGGACCCAGTGGTGGCTGCAGGAGCAGTAGCCACCAGCTCAGGCATTGTCTTCTTCTCCAATCCAGCCCATCCTGAGTTCCGTGAGTACCTGGGGGTGGGGTGGGTGGGGCACCATGCCTAGCCAGGGCCTGGACAGGGCAGACCCAACCCCCTCCTCTGCCTATTGCACGCCTAGGGGTGAACCTGACCCTGCGCTGGAGCTTCAGCAATGGGACGTCCTGGCAAAAGGAGAGAGTCCAGGTGTGGCCAGGGCCCAGCGGCTACTCGTCCCTGACAACGCTGGAAAACAGCAAGGACGGAGAGCAGCAACCCCCGCAGCTGTTCGTTCTGTACGAGAAAGGCCTGAACCGGTACACCGAGAGCATCTCCATGGTCAAAGTCAGCGTCTACGGGACGCTCTGAGCCCTGCACCTCAGGGCGCCAAGTCCTGGACTCCAACCTCACGACCTCACGGCTCTCCCTTCGGGGGTCTGCAGAGGGGGCCTGAAACACAGCTCTTCCACCGAACTCTAGCCTTTTGCAGAAGCAACTTCTCTTTGACAGGGAAGTCACTCGGTTATGACATAACGGCCCAGCTTCCTCTCCCCCAGGCAGGAAGTCCCTCCAGGACAAGGCAGCTGTTCCTTTCAGGGACAGCATGGGTACGGGGGTGTTCCCTGGAGTGATGACCGAATATGAACCCTGGGAACTGGGAAGGCCAGCGTGGAAGCAGGTACGAGACCTGAAGAGGATTCCAGGAAATCCCCGGGACAGAATGGCCGTTCAGAGTAAGGCGCGCACACACACACACACACACACACACACACACACACACACACGCCCTTGATTATTTATAAATCAAAATATTTGTAACTTAAAATTTTTAATGAAGGAGATAAAGCGTTTCTGGAGTCTTTGGTTCTGTCCACTCGCACCTTCTGGACCGCCTCAGGGACACCGGTGAATGTCCGGTGAAACCCAAGTGAGGTTAGAACGGGTACTGGTCTGCTTATTGCTTGGGAAACAGAACCCAGTCAATCAAATCCCATGTTTCCCATGAAATGACTATGAGTTTCATTCATTTATTTTGTTTTTATGTACTTTTATTTATATTTTGAGATGGGGTTTCTCAGTATAGCCCAGGCTGTTCTGGAACCCTGAGATTCGCTTACCTCTGCCTCCCAAGAGCTGGGATTAAAGGCCCGCGCCACCAACCGCCCGGCTTAGAATATTTTCTATTTCTAAAATAGGGTGGGATATGAAATAGGGAACAGGTGTGTAAAGCCGGGTGGGAGGCCGTGTCAGCCCAGCCTGTGAGAAATTAGCGCCCTGAGGCAGATGCTGCGTGTAGGGGAGGGAAGAGCCCAGGTAGGTACTTGAGTGTATCAGGTATCTGTAACCTCACACTTCCTGGGCTGGAAGCGTAGCTCGGTGGTAAAGCTACTGCTTATGATTAGAATGCTTAAGACCCTGGGTTCAATCAGTGAGGGCGCCCACGTTTATCGAGAGGAAGGAGTGCGTGTTCCGTTGTATCGCAGAGGTAAGAGAACAGCTGGAGATGGTTCTCTCCTGTGGGTCCCAGGGATTAAACTCAGCTTGTTAGGGTTGGCAGCAAGAGCCTTGCCGGCTGAGCCGTCTCGCAGTCTCTGCTTTTAAGAATTTAAACATATTAGGGACAGAGGAATGCTGGTCATTTGCAGTTAGAGGGTCATTTTTCTGTTGATAGCTTCTCTAAGAAATGTTAAGATAATAGTTCTGTCTGGTAGAAGTATAGCCCCACTGCATAAGGGCACAGTTCTGTGTGTTTTATCCGGAGATGTGTGCCCAGGGCTGCTGACACAGCCCAGGGGTAAGCGCTGAAGCACGCAGCGGGCCTCAGTTGTGCACATGTGAGTGCGTGCTCATATACACACTTCAGTGAGCACACATGTGAGCACGTGCTCATACACACATACTTCAGTGAGCACACATGTGAGCACATGCTCATACACACACTTCAGTGAGCACACATGTGAGCATGTGCTCACACATACACACTTCAGTGAGCACACATGTGAGTGCATGCTCATACACACACTTCAGTGAGTACACATGTGAGCATGTGCTCATACATACACACTTCAGTGAGCACACATGTGAGCATGTGCTCACACATACACACTTCAGTGAGTACATATGTGAGCGCGTGCTCATACACACACTTCAGTGAGCACACATGTGAGCATGTGCTCACACATACACACTTCAGTGAGTACATATGTGAGCGCGTGCTCATACACACACTTTAGTGAGTACACATGTGAGCATGTGCTCATACACACACTTCAGTGAGCACACATGTGAGCACGTGCTCACACACACACTGGCACACACACAAACACACATGCTTGCCTTTTCTAAAAGCTATAGACATGTTGTCTTTTTTTTTAAAAAAAAATTTATTCATTTATTCTGTATACAGTGTTCTGGCATGTATGCCTACAAGTCAGAAGAAGGCGCCAAATCTCATTATAGATGGTAGTGAGCCACCATATGGTTGCTGGGAATTGAACTCAGGACCTCTGAAAGAGCAGTCAGTGTGCTCAACCTCTGAGCCATTTCTCCAGCCCAACATGTTGTCTTTTAATCACTTTGTTTTTAGCAAAAATCCTGTTATGAATCTCAAAGTGGATCGAACTCACTACAAAGCCCAGGCTGGCCTCCAACTCAACACCCTCCTGCTTGTTCTCCCAGGGACTGGGATACCAGAAGTGTGCCATCACACCTAACACATTTCCAAAACCAAAAAGAGAAAAATGGTTAGCCTGTGTTCAACATTCAGTTTAGGTTAGTTTTTGGTTGTTTTAGGGTGGATCTCACTATAGCCCAGCCGATCTCTAGTTCCTGAAATCTTACTGCTTCAGAACTAGGACTGTTGGTATATCCCACCAAGACAGGCCAACATCCAATTTTGTTTGTTTTAATTTTATCTGGTTTGTTGGTTTGTTTTGTTTTGTTTTTAGAAACAGGGTTCCTCTGTGTAGCCCCGGCTGTCCTTTAACTTGATTTGTAGACCAAGCTGGCTTTGAATTCACAGAGATTCACCTATTCACCTGCCTCTGCTTCCCAAGTGCTGGGATTAAAGGTGTGTGCCACCATACCCTGCTTCTTCTTCTTTTTTTTTTTTTAAAGATTTATTTATTTATTATAGAGTGTTCTACCTGCATATATGCCTGCTCACCAGAAGAGAGCATAGGATCTCATTAAAGATGGTTGTGAGCCGCCATGTGGGTGCTGGGAACTGAACTCAGGACCTCTGGAAGAGCAGCCAGTGCTCTCAACTGCTGAGCCATCTCTCCAGCCCCATACCCTGCTTCTTGTTTGTGTTTTAAATGAAGGTCTCACACTGTAGCCCAGGCTGACTTGGAATGCATGATGTCTCAAATGTTTCAGGTCCTGCCTCTGTTCCTTTTTTTGTTTTTTAAAGATTTGTTTATTTATTATGTATACAGTGTTCTGCCTGTATGTATGCCTACGTGTTAGTAGAGGGCACCAGATCTCATTACAGATGGTTGTGAGCCACCATGTGGTTGCTGGAAATTGAACTCAGACCTTTGGAAGAACAGTTAATGGTCTTAACCTCTGAGCCATCTCTCCAGCCTGCCTCAGTTCCTTTTAAAAGAATTTTTAAAGTAAAAAATACTAATATTTTGATGTCATTGGGCTCTCAGAGAAGTGCTAACAGTGGCATCTACTATCTAACCAATATTCAAGTTTAATCAAATAAGGTCTGATCAAATCAGAACTGAAAATCAGGAATGGTAGTATAATCGCAGCAGAGGCAGGAGGATGGCTACAAGTCCAAGAGCAGCCTGGTCTCATAGCAAGGTCCAGTCTACATAAGCAAGACCCTTTCTCAAAGCACAAACAGGCGAAGAGGCGGCTTACAGTTATGAGCGCTGGCTGCGCTTGCTGAGGACCCTCTGACTCGCAGCACCCACGGAGTAGCTCCCAACCCCCTGCAATTCCAGTTCCGGGGACCTGACACCTTCTGGCCTCCACAGGCTTCGGGCACAAACATGATACAGAGACATTCATGCAGGAGAAAAACTCATATACATAAAATTAACTTAAAACAAGCAAAGATCAGGACCCAGGAAAATCTATTCCTGATTGCTATTTATTTATTTTCTGTTTTTTCTTTCTTTTTTTCTTTCAGTTTTTTGAGACTGGGTTTCTCTGCAGCTTTGGAGCCTGTCCTGGAACTAGCTCTTGTAGCCCAGGCTGGCCTTGAACTCGCAAAGATCCCCCTGTCTCTCCCAAGTGTTGGGATTAAAGGTGCCCGGTGTGTGACTTTTACTTTTTCTTATGGTTTTCCTCGTTTATTACCTGCAATTCTTCAGTGAAAAGGAGCTTTCCTGGGCTGTAGAGACGGCTCAGCAGTTAACAGCCCTTGTTGCTGTTGCAAAGGATCTGGGTTTAACCCCCAGCACCCACATGGTGGCCACAGCCATCTGTGGCTTCAGTTCCAGGGGTCCGATGCCCTCTTCTGACCTCTGTGGGCACCAGGCATAAACATACATGCAGGCAAAACACTCACACACATAAAACTAAGAGCTAATAATAATAAGACTTTAAGAAAAAGAGAGACCCTGCCCTCCTCTGGGCTGTTTGTTCCTTGGTGCGTGGTTGGTGCAGGAACTCCATGGGTGGGGGCTCGCTGTCCCTCGAATGAGCAGTTCCCAGAGTCCGTTGATGGAACTCGTTCGTTGCCCCAGTCAGTAAACCACACTGTTGCCCCATGGGGCAGACAGGCCCATCCGCTGGCCTGCAGAAGCAGAGGGGGAGGGTCTGTGGAAAAAATGATTGACAGAGAAATACCTAACAAAACCATTAATAGAAAGATAGGCAGGCAGAATGGTCAAACTTAAAACACACACACGAGAGAGAGAGAGAGAGAGAGAGAGAGAGAGAGAGAGAGAGAGAGAGAGAGAGAGAGCCCGGTGAAGTAGAAGGGGGCTAGCAGTTATGGGCGGCAGTGGACCTGTCACCTACCTCCAGAGGTAGGCAGAGACCCTGCCTGAGCTCCAGTAGATGGCGCTTGAAGACCCCTTCCCCCCTCCTCCCTGGGACAGGCTCTGGAGCCGGTCAGACACCAAACCCCTTCCCCACCATTCTCCACGGCAGTACCAGGCCCCGAGTTGTCCCCTCCCACGCCCACCACCGGTGCCTGGAATGGAACCTGGGGTCTCAGGCAGACTGGGTGAGCACTGTACCCACTCACTGAGCCACACAGCACACCTAGCCCGGGATTGTTTATTTTTGTTAGGGGACAGTGTCACTATGTAGATGAATCAGGCCTTGAACTTGTGGTGAACCTCCTGCCTCTGCCTCTAGAATACTGGGGCGTCTGCAGCAACAGTATCAGAATGTGTATCCTGGAGAGATGGCTCGGCAGCTAAGGGCACTCCTCCTCTTCCAGAGCACCAAGGTTTGAGTGCCAGCGTCTTCGGTTTACAGCTGGCTGTAACTCCAGGTCCAGGGGGTCCAATGCCTTCTGACTTCCTCAGGCACCATGCACACATGTGGTATACATACATACACACATTAGGCAAAACAGTCACATGCATAAATAAATCTAAAAAAACATTTTAAATACATTTCTGAGCGGGGGCAGTCCCTGTAGGTAAAATGCTTATCATACACGCCTAAAACCCTGAATGCGGATCCAGCACCCCTTTTCACACGTTTTCACTGGCTTTCACGCCACCATGAC